GATACCCGCCTCCGTAACCCAAGTGAGTTAGGGCTGGCTTCTTGTCCTAAAAAGTGCTTTGAACATCACCAACCAATATATGTGCATTTTGGTATCGTTATGCGCATGCCAAATGTGAGAATGGTAACGCTTAGTCAGAGTTATTGAGAGAGAGAGGTGCGCCAACGTACATGTCAGGTATTTTCAAGTGGAGGGAAAGGGTGGTCGAAAGCGTAACATGCATGCCCAAGCAAACTTATCAAGAAAGGCAGAGTGGCGGAAGAAGAGTTATCTAGTAAGAAAAGGGCCAATCAATAGTATTTTACGGTAAGCGATACTTACGTTTTCGTCTTCGAACTGTCCTTCGGGTTCCTGCACCAGGGGTTAGTGACGGTTTAAGGGCGTTCCTCTTACGACGCATTGGGTCACACAACTGAAGCGGTAACTCGATAGTGCCCACATCTGTCCCGAACTCCGAGCACGTAATTCCACAGCTGGGATCAAGGACTATACTGCTGGCTCCCTGAGTTTTACCCTGTTTCGAGGCTTGTTTTCGTATCCGGCGTCCACAGGCAACCCAATCACTCTCACCGAGCAGTTGGGCATGCTCAGAAGTGGTCGTCTGAGCAGCCACTTCGTTTTCATCACACAGACTCGGGTCATCAACAGTCTGACTTCCAAAGTTTGGGTATCCAAAAAGACTGTCACCACCACGTGTGACCTCATACATGGTCCACGAGAAGCGTAGGAAGCAGGAGCGACGTCAGAACTATCTCTCTGTGTGCGCTAACTCACAACCTATTCGTTCGGCGGTAACAGCACTCGCGTCGGCATATAGGCTCTCGATTACTTGCAAATGTACAAGCTACTTTAGACAACAGCACGGGCGCACAAGCGCGCAATCACGAAGTGCGTGGGACGCAGCCAAGTAACTGAGCTAGAGCGCTAGCAATGCAGGCGACAACGTCCTAGAAGACCTTATTCAGTTTCCTGAGTGGCTGATCACATTAGCCAATCAGATTGCCAGTTGGAGCAGCACTTACGTCAGCTATGACGCGACGCGAGCAACGGTGTT